GCGATGCTAATATGCCGACATTTCCCATGCGTTCGTGTCCCCGCGGTCAGCACATCAAGCAGACGACAGCCGTGGAAGTGAGGGTAACGCTCCTACGCGTTCGCGTTCTCATTGTGCTCATCTATTCTGCCACGTCCAAGCTAGCGTTTCCAAATTATCCCACAGAAACAGGCCGTAGACCACAAAAGAGACGCTGGTCAATAAAACAACGCCGCTCGCGTGGTCGGGGGTTGGGATTGTTCGGGCACGTCACGCGCACGTGACCTTTTGGTCGAATGCCCGAGCGTGTAGGAAAGAGATTTGGCTTGCGAAGGCTACGCGGGCGAGCGCCAAAGATATCAGCTTGCCTCCTGTCATCCTCATTTCACGCTGCGTGAAAAAAAAGTTTTCTCTGCTTGTAATGAACCGATTGAAAAGTTTCTGTGGCATAATGCTCCTCATCGGACACACAACAACTTCCAAGGTGTAACTAAAATTTGTTAATGGGCCTTTTGAGCGGCCCTTTAAAGCACGTCGGTGAACAAAACCGGATGTCATCAAGGGCCTGTGTTTGTAAACATTGAAGGGGAATATACTCATCGAACACTTTCTGTGGCAGCAAAGCCAAGGGTACGATGCCCAAGCACGCCCTCTTACTGTGCTTCTGCATGTAGTCCGCGAATCTTAACTTTTGTATATTGCGTAACATATTGGAAAATGTAAAAAATGTAGATATTATGTTGAAGATTGTTCGCAATATTGTTAGAAAGCCTGACCCATGCAGATTTTTTGTTCTTTGCTGTTTCTAGTTTTCTGGTTTTCTGGTGTCATTTCACCTTTTTCTGCCCGGTTAACAACGATGGCCCCGCTTGGTTTCAGCAGGCTCACATCGAAGCTTGTCAGCTGACATTAGTAATTGTTCATTAGTTGATCCGTATTTATCGAGCAGGGAGAAACGAAGACAGTGGTGCGTCGTGAAATAATTTTGTTTCCGACACGTGCAATCACCGAGAAGTTGAGTGCGAGTGATACCATCTGCCATGAAAGTAGCACCGGTGACCTGCCAGTCTTCAGCAACACCAGCAGCTAGGAAGAAAAAGTGCGATTGGAAACTGTATGTAAAAGCAATGACTGTTTTCTTAAATTGCGTTGTATACATGGTCGGTAATTTGGCTGCCTAATGTTGTTGATACGATAACGCTCAAGTGATTGTACTGTAACACCACTCCCGTCGGCGTCTATGGATGGAGTGGTTCGGGGGGCTTTGCGATGACAGCGATGTACAAAAATAAAATTCTCATGGCAAAGCCTCACCTGGACAACAGACGCGGTCATGTATATTGCCCAGTTGAATTTGAAAAAAAACATCGTTCTTTGCCGATTAAAGCCGGCGTTTTACCCACTTGGACTTACGAATGTCTGACGCCCGCTCATGGCCGATCAGTGCCAAGATTTCTGCTTCCCATCGTTGCCTTTGCGTCCCTTAAAGAAACAAAACAATCACAGCATATCAATGGAGTGAATGATGAGTGGGGCGAACCGTCCATTCGTCCGTCCGTCCGTCCGTCTGTCCGTCCGTCCGTCCGTTCGTCCGTCCGTCCGTCCGTCTGTCTGTCTGTCTGTCTGTCTGTCTGTCTGTCTGTCTCTTCGTACATCTGTCTCTTTGTCCGTTTGGCCAGTTACGCCCAACGCAGGACGAGATAAGGCTAAGAGGAGTTTCTCCCCTAAAAGAACGTGAGTGCCTACAGATTGTTCTTGAGTCTCTACAAAAAGGAAAACAATAATGCCGACCGAGTATGCACTGAAATTTAAAAAAATAATTTCTTGTTCTTGCGTTGCTTTTCTAATCGCGCTTTTCGTGTGTAGCCGTGCCTTTTGTTTTCCGACATAAATCTGTACGGTTCAGTGAAGCTTCTTGTTCTTTGGTTTAAAGCATTAAACATTGGATTATTTTCTTTAGTAAAAAATTACTATTTATTGTATAGTGCTCGTGCGAAAACGTACATGTTGGATGCACTTGCGAAATCGAAACAGAAACAGTACAAAAACGAACTCCTTGGCCTAGTGACTTATGTGCAGAAGCTCCGCCCACCTAGCTTCGGCTGTGCTACAACAAAAAGTTTACCAGTAATGAAATGTTCACCACACAAGGGGTAGTGAGGGGCCAAGCTGTTTAGGTCTTACCCAATAATACGTCACAGCGACTCGGCTCTTCGTCGCTACGTGATGTCTTTCGTGTTCTTGCGTTGATCGACGATGACATTCGGGACAAAAAAGACCTTGTTCTCATCGACTGGTTTCTTTTTTGAGTGGTTGCTGCAATCCGTCACTGCACAGTTTACTATCGTCGCTGCAACCTCACCACAGAAATGAACTCCCGCACGCCTCACATAACCCGCGAGTGTACGTTCGTGTTACTGTTTGCCGGGCCGTCCAGTCGACCGCAACCACACAGACGTACGTGCAGCCATCCCAACATTGGTGCCATCTCGGGGACTACCACCTGTGCAACCATGCTCAGAAATAACGACGTAGGCAAATATATCAGAGTGCTAGCATGTTACATATATTATGTGAGCACATGGCCAACTTATTTTAGGGGCGAAACTCTTTAAAGCGGCACCCATTCTTCCCTCGTCATAGTAGGTATCTTGTCTTACGCTTTGACCTGCAGGTAGTGCGGGTGGGAGATTTCTGCTGTGCGTTGTTGAAGAATAAAACATTCGCAGCGTGCGCGTTAATTAAAAGCCTAACTCCCCAGTCTCTCGTTCCCCATTCGTAGCCTTGGCATGTACATTGAGCACTATCTGACATGAAAGGGTTGCTACGTTATACTCGCTGGGAGTAACTTCCTTGGTTTTAGGAAGGTTTAGCGAGCGTTGGGCCGCAGTGCCATGAATACAGTAAACTTGCATAGACCATGAACTGAAGGGGGTTAAAGGTGGGAAGTAGACACGAAGCGCAAGCCGCAAGAAAGTGTGCGTGTGCCACCTCTCGTTTAGTCCTGGGAATGTCCGCTGGATGGCGGTGCTTCTGTATGCGGAATATATGATGAAAAGATGTGAGATGATGGTACTTGAAGTGTTGTCTATATGGGCGAATGGACACACAGGCAGATGAATGGACGGACGCACGAATGCCTGCACGGACGAACGGACGCAGGGGCGGATGCATGGAGGAACGCAGAGACGAACGCATGAATGAATGTGCGGACGCACGAACAGATGCATGCACGGACGGACGAATAGACGCACGGACGGACGGAAGGACGCACGGACGGTCACACAGACAGACGCATGGACGGACGGAAGCAAGAACGAATGAACGGACGGATGCTTCGCCCCACTCTCCATCACTCACCCCGTGGATATGCTGCCATTTTTTCATTCTGATATTGAAATATACAACATAGGTTTTAGTAGAATAATCCCATTGGTAAATTAGCTGAAAGATTCCATGTTCCCAGAATTTCGTTGGCCGTAACGAAACCGAGTCCATCCGCAGCCTTTTTGCGTTGGTCGTCTGAGTAGAAGCGCTTCCCTTTCTGATATGTATATTGTACGTTTCCGGTATATCAAGTAGCCCCGTGTACAAGAAGCATGAGAGTTTCTGTACCAATTGTTTCATCATAAGAGCGAATCGTTGTGCTCTTGTGCTAGTGCTGTTACACGCTCGTATTTCAAGTATCCACTTGCGCATGGCCACCGACAAAGCTTGGCTAAACGAAGAGATCCAAACAAAACAACGGTAAAGGGGCCCATCCCTAATTGTTTAAAGTGCTGCATCACTCTCTTGGCTGGCCTGCCTTAGGTATCAGCGCGTTGCAGTAGTACTTTACAACTGCCGCATCCTCTTTAGTACCAGAAAGTAAATTTGGTGTCTTGCTTTTAGCTCTTCTTATAATTATGTCTAAAGGAGATATGCTGAACAAGGATCCATGATATGACGCTTTAGAGGAGGACATCTACACGCATTATTCTCAGCAGCTTTCGCGAACATTGCCATACATGTGGTCTTGACCAGGCAATAAAACGCACCCAAAAAAGTTCTAATACCACAAGTTCACGCAAAATCGTGATGGCACCGTCAACACGTGCTTCTATGCTCCCATTCTGCAACCTCACCATTGCACTTTCATAAAAAGAAGAAAATACATTCTCGCGGCGAAAACTACCAGAAAACGGCTACGTTTGCAACTGTGGACAGGCCGGCAAACTCCCTCATGAGTTGACTCACTCTGACTCATTCAGACGCAGATGGAGCTATCAGTATAAGTAGTCATACCTTGATGAGGCCAAGTGAAACCGGCTGAGAGAAACTTGGTTAGCCCGAGTCGGAGTGAGCCTTTACTCGAGTACCTTATACTTACAGGAGTACTTATTGAGTACTTTACACGAGTACGAGTACTTATACTTTACACAAGTATTATCAAGTACTTTGTCTCGCTTGAGGAAAATTTTGATGAGTGTGAGTTCGAGTGCGTTCAAGCGGCAAAATGTATTTCATGGCTAAGTCTTAGTGAGCTCCACAATTTTTGCTGACCTACGCCCCTGCGGCGGCAACGCCATCAGCACCTGCAATATTATTAGAAAATGGTGTTAATACGCTCATAAGTAAGCACATGGCTGTGGTGACGGGGGGGGGGGGGGGGGGGTCCAACATCCTTTGTCGCTTAAGATGGGGGAGACAAGGCTGCACAATACATTGACTTAGGGAGCAGGGCTGTACTGAAGCTTCGCCAATTCATTCCTGAACGGAAACCCTGCACATGCCTATGATAATGCGCCTAACACCTCATTTGTAACGATAACTGATCAAACAACCGCTATGTCCTCCCGGTGACCTACCGGTGTGAGCAGTGCTTACGGCCTGCTAACACCGGTTCCTTAGAAAAATCATTTTTATGCTACGTTTACGCCGTTTCGAGCATGCATTGCGCAGAGTGGTAATTTAGGTGCCACAGGTGAGTCTTTACCAACCTAATAACTGCCTTGGTAATTGTGTTTTATATTGAAATTCAGGAGCTGAAGCAGCGGCGTCCTTAACAATGTGCGAGAAAGCGGCCACAACCCGCCCAAAACCTTACTACCAGATCATCGACGGTGTACCCCGGTGCCCTTTCATGACCGCGGAGTCTCTCAGGCAGGGTCTCGGCTTCGTTGCTTGCAAGGGAGACCTGCTGCAGGTTTCCTACCCTAGAAGTGGTACGCACTGGGTGCAGTACATTACGCAGCTGATCCTAAAGGAGGGCGAACCAGTTGATACGTATGAACAGTTCATGGAAGGGGCCAAGTTCATCGAGTACTTTTCCGGTATCGATGACTGCAAGCCAGGCACGCTGGTTCGAACCTTGTGCACCCATCTGCCCCTGCGCAAAGAAAAGCTCAACCCAGAGGCCAAGTACGTCTACGTGGCTCGCAACCCATGGGACGTCTGCGTGTCACTGTACCATCACGTATGTATGACACTGTGGTTGCGTTGCTAGCATGTACTTGGGCGAAGACGTGACGTGTTTTATTTCATTGTTGTTTGGACACGGACGACCACAGACGTTATTGCTCTCACCGAAATCTTCTGTCCCGCTCGGCTCTGCCAAGGTGCAATTGCGTCATCGTTTCTGAGATACTGCAGCTGGCCATCGGGCCTCCTCTCTAATAAAATAGCCAGTATACGAAATGTGATTCTTATGGCGAACAGTCCGAGTGGGCGAGACCACAACAACTTGAAACTCAGCTGCTGTGCGCGTTCGAGCCGAGCACGAGAGGAAAAGATTAGCGAAAACAACTGCGTGTGTGGCCACCTTTGTATAAGCGACTATGAAATACGTAAACTAAGCGAGGTAGCAAATCCTCATGTCTTCTCCGATATTGAAGTTGGGCAGTGGTATTGTGAGCAATGCCAAAGTGGGGCGCTATGAATTCACTTCAATCTCGTAGCTCTCGCTACGTTACACAAATTTCAGTACAGAAGTGTCCTTGCATAACTATTTACGGGATGCGCATGCTGGAAGTGCGTTGTCGACATCTGCCTGACATTGGTCCTTCTTACAGCTCCTAAGGAACCCAAATAAGAGTGCAGATGGTTTTAGTAGAAATGAAAACGAATAACTCCCGGGTTTCTGCGTGAGTTATCAGTGATACAAATGTGAGGAATGCATTCAGTGGGAGATTCTGCTGACTTTGCGTTCATTCCAGCAATGCACTAAAAAACTAAAAAAAGCAATGGAACCACTAATTAAAGCTGCTAAGGTGCACGAATTTTAGTCCTCCACTTCAACTGATGTCTCTGCTGGGTCAAGTACGTTACTTCCAACAATTTTTCTTAGTTGCATAGGTTCTCTCTCGCGCTTGGAAAAAACATCCGATCGAGTTAAAGCATACATTGTATGTCAACTTCTTTCAAACAATTTTTATTGGAAAAGTTGGAGTGTGAGTGTTTATGTTGCCTCTATGGGTGACTCAATTGTGTTAGCGCTAAATGTTTTATGCTTGCAGCCTTTGTGTAAAATGAAGCCCCCTTTTTGGCTAAGGTATATTTTTCTGTAGAGCCACTGGCATATCCAGGGGGGGGGGGGACATTGGACACGTGCCCCACCCGAGATTTTTTCGGCCGTCGGATTTAGAGCACAAAGTGGCACTCGATCACATTCGCCTGTCCGGTACCCGCTCGTGGTGAAGAACATGCCTTCAGAGAAATGAATCCTTCCTACGCCACTGGAATAGCTAGAGGAGCACAATATGGCTACGCCATGAAACACTCTTCTAACGAAGTTGCAGAAACGTTGTTAACAAGATTTTCCTATTTAAATACACTCGAGAAAGCACCTTCTAACATCACGCTAGCGCTTTGCAATGACGTCAAAACCAGACACCGTTCCAATTAAACGTCGCACCAGGAAGGCTCGCTCTTATTCGTATGCGACTCTAATGAGCAAATTGGCACTAAAACATGCCATTCGTTAAATCAGATTTTGAAACACAAAAACTGAAGTCACTTCATTCAGACCTGAAAAGAATTGAACTGTTAGATGATGCCAACCCATTGGCTGCATGTTCTGTTTTGAAAGTGTCATTTATTTTAAATCAGACTAGGAGCTATTGAGCAGACTGTGCCGAAAATGACACGTTGACCATTTGCTTGTTTGGCAAGTAACTCGCAGGAACAACTCCTACAGTGTAGGAAAAGTTAACCAAACACAAGTGGTCCTGGCACTTCATTACATCGATTCGGCACTGGTCAATGCATGCACCCATAAATTAGGTCGACAAAAAATCCTTCTAGTACTTTGTAATAAATATGAGTGCTTGGCTTGCATTCATGATTTTCCCTTTGTTTTTGTTTTGTACATTCTTAGGAGAGGAACATCAGCGCCTTTCGCTTCGAGGAGGGTGCATTCGATGACTTCCTGGAAGTCTTCTTGACAGGGGAGCTCGGATACGGCTTCTACTTCGATCACGTGAAAGCCGGGTATGCTTTGAAAGATGAACCGAACGTTTTCTTCGTGACGTACGAGGAACTGACAAGGGACACGCGAGGCACTATAATTAGGCTGGCTCGATTCATTGGTGAACGCTATGGCGAAATTCTGGAACAAGTTGGTGAAGAGAGGCTGAACGAGATCCTAAAGAGGAGCAGTGCGAGAAACATGAAAGACATTATGGTATTCAACCTGCGTGAGAACCCTGACCCCGGATTGCAGAAGCGCTTGAAAGAGCTCAACGCATTCTCCAAGGCTGCTCACAAAGGCGACGTCAAACGCCACGAAGTTTTGAGAAAGGCTGAGATTGGTGGATGGAAGGAGCACTTTTCTCCCGAGCAGTTGCAGCGCATGGAGGCCACGATCAAGGAAATGACTAGAGGTTCAGACGTTATGGATCTGTGGAAGGACATACGGCAGGAAACGCTGAAATTATGTGAACAACCTGGATAGGCCAAATACCAAATACGCAGCATCACACAGCTGGTACATGGAAGAACAATGCACTCAGCGCATCGTCCTGTCTTGTCCTTTTCGTCATCTCGTTTCGTCCAGTGGCACATTCAGAGGCGTGGGGGAGATAAAGCGATCACCCTACCCCCCCCCCAAAAACAATTACGCCATCTCCCGCTAATTGGAACACTGTGTAGACGTCAAGCAGCGAGGGCCAACCCTTACACTGGCAGCAACGTTAACGCTGGCATCATTGAGGCGTTGCGCAGCATAGATACTTGGGGAGGCAGAAAACACGCAGTGATGGACCAGTGTTTCCTATTAGAACACGCCAATTGCTGCTAATAGTCAATGAGAGACAGAAGACTCCAATTGGATACAGAGACCTGCAGTCTCCTTTTGGTTAGCACGCATGCTGCGAATTTCAATTGTCCAGCAACGCTGAGAAGAAATCTTCTACCGGCACTACTTTGCAGGTCAAGACACAGTGCCTACTTACACGGGGTGGCCAGTGATCTGTTGTACAGCGCGAGCAGTCAGTTTTTACAATTAAGATTATCCCTAGCAGACGCTTAGAGGATGGAATAAAAGAAAAGAGAGGGAGAGGGCACGCGCATGCACTCGGGGGGTGTTAAAGCCATGGGGAGGAAGGCCTAGAAGAAAGACGGGGGAGTGAGTGTAGGTAAGCAGAAGCTCCCAACGTCGGCTTTGTGATGCGAGAGAGGGGAGATCGTATGAGAGAAGAGAGAGGGGGGGAGTGGGCGCACATGCGAGGTAAGGGTAGTCACGCCACACGCCGGATTGAGCTCGACCCTAAGCTGCTTCACATCTAACAATACCTTTGTCAGCCAACCACTCCCCTATCTTCAGTGCCTCTCGTTCACCTCTTATCGCCTATTAGGATAAATTAGCGGGGCCACTGCGAGCACAAGATAAGGGTATTCATATTGTTATGGTGTTCTTGTGATGATTGTAACTACTAAAAACCTAAGAGCATGGCCTGCCACTTACAGTTTTACTGCCGGTGACCCGTCCTTTTAAATAAGTCGGCAAAGCTCCTTGTTTTCGGAGTTAATTTTGTTTTTTGGAAATACAGAGGGTGCTTTTCGGAGCTCAACTTATGGTAGAAATTCGGAGTTCGTTGGTGTTTGCTTTACGTAAACCCCCAAATCTTCGAAATTCGCAGCTTAAGTTGGCAGAATTCTGAATATCTCGTATGAATTTATCTGAACACAAAACACCAGAACACACGAAGCGTATATTAGTTGCCCAGGAGGTAAGAATGCACAACACCACGCACACAAGTGCATATACCTTAGCACAAAAGACTTAAGTCTGTGCGCAATATACAACAGCAACGTTGTTGCTATACGCTGGGATACTTCCGATGTCGTCTGGCTTTCCGCAGCACCACCAGGGGGCCGCACATTAGGACGCCGTGTCCTGCTGTCGTGGTCTCTGGGCACGTGATAGGTGCGCTACTACCTTGATTGATTGCTTTATTTGCTTCGTCACAGTACAGTGTAACAGGAGGCGGAGGGAAAAGCCGTAATGACGGCTTGAGGGATCCTCCGCCCCCTTTGTGAACAATGGCAGCAGATGAAGGACATCACAATATCATACACTTTCACATTGTTTTACGTAAAGATCATGCCACAAAGGAAGGAAACCTGAAAACGTAGTTGATACATAGCTTACACAACAAAGAAACTTGCAGCAATCTTCTGCACCTGAATAAATACATAGTTTATAGAACATATAACATAGTTTGCTACATAGTTTATAGAACAAAAAGAGCCGCTAATTCTGCGACACTTAAATGAGACACATCTATACCTTTGCTAATATAAGTATTCAGAATTCGCGGTAGAGTACATCGAAGCATCTGAAAACCATAATTAGTGCGAAAGTACGGAACGTTCCACATTTCTGTATTTCTTGTTACATACGCCTTTTCCTTTAGGCAAAGATTCGCCATTTCCGTAAACAAAAAGTTTGCGCGTTTGCAGCTAAGGCAGTACTCTCGTAGTAGTCTGTATTGATATAGGTCATTCACTTTGATTATCTTATATTTTTTAAACAGTGGGTCACTAGGTGCTAGAGCTGTAGCGTTGTCTATCAGCCTCAGTATTTTCTTCTGTATTCTCAGTAATTTTGTTGAGTTTGTTTCTGTAGTTGTTCCCCAAACCAAATAGCAATAGTTAAGATGAGAACTAAACAGCGATTTGTATATCAATAACTTCACCGAATTGGGGATGAGGTACCGGATACGGCTGAGTATTCCAGTTATCCGGCCTAATTTTATTTGAATATTATTTACGTGGTCATCCCATTGCAAAGAACTGGAGAAATGTACCCCAAGTACTTTCACTGACTTCACTATTTCTATATCTGAGCCTCTAAATACAATATTATTCTTCAAAGTCACTTGTTGACCTTTCGAATGAAAAACTACCGCTTTTGTTTTAGTTGCATTTATTTTTAACTTATTGTTACTTGTCCAGTTGTCTAACTTCTGTAAGACGTCATTAGCTTTATTAGAAAGAATAACATCTGATGATGAGGTGACAAATATACTCGTGTCATCTGCATAGATAATAAACTTAACTTCTGGGGAGATATGGACTATGTCATTAATATATAAAGTGAATAATAAAGGGCCAAGAATGCTCCCTTGTGGTACCCCTGAAATTATATTTTTCTTATCTGATACTAAATCATTTATCGAAACAAATTGACATCTATGCGCCAGATAGCTTTTAAGTAACATGAGTGGGAGCCCGCGAATGCCATAATGGTTTAATTTTTCAAATAAAATGCCGTGGTGAATGTAGTCAAATGCTTGTGTGAAATCCACAAAAATTCCGACCACTTTATTTTTTTGTTCAAATTGTTGTAGAATATATTCTTTTTGATCCAGTAGGGCGAGTTCTGTAGACTTATGTTTTTGGAAGCCATATTGTGATTTTGTTAGGACATATTTGGTGCAAAAACAGGATAAGCGACTAAAAATAATTTTTTCGAAACCTTTAGAAAATACGGGGAGAATAGATATCGGTCGATAATTTGCAACGTTATGCTTGTTCCCCTTTTTGTAGAGAGCTATTACGCGTGCCGTTTGCATTTTCGAAGGAAAAACCCCTGTCGAAATACAGAGATTGAATATGTGTGTTAGTGCTGGACTGATCTGATCGATAACATATTTCACTGGTTTTATTTGTATGCCATCAGCGTCGCAGCTGCGACTGTTTTTTAAGCCGAGAAATACTGTGCGGACTTCTGGTTCGATAGTACCTGCTAAGAAAAACGTGTTTGCAATTTCTGGACCCAGAGTTCGGCAAGTAGCGGTTGATCTGTCGCTAAAGTCTCTGTAAACGAAGTAATCATTAAAAACATTGACCATAGCCTCTCCACTGACCAAGTTTCCGTCATGGAGTACCTCCTTAATTTCTTCTGTTTTCGAATTTCGGCCCATCAAAGAGTTTATTCTATTCCATAAAACATCTGCTCGTTTTGAACACACAGTAAATGCTTGTATATGATACAGCTCCTTTGATTTCTTCATTTCTTTACTTAAGGCATTTCGGAACTGCTTGAAAGCAATTAGGTCCGCCTCGTCGCGCGTACGTATGAATTTCCGGAATAATCTGTTTTTTCTGTCTATTTTACGTAAGAGTTCACGTGTCATCCAAGGTTTCCGACAACCTTTACGTTTTTTCCGCTGTTTATAAGGGAAGTGTTTTTTGTATATACAAATAAACGATTCTAAAAAAGCGTCATAGGCTGAGTTTGCATCATTTGAGTAAAAAACATTGTCCCAATGCAAAGTGCCAATCTCTAAACGGAAAGCATCTAAAGCAGCTGGCGAGACATGCTGATAACTATAAGGAATGTCATTCTGAATTAACGTAGGTACAGCTGTTTTTACAGAACAACACATCGCCATGTGATCACTAATAGGATACGTAAGGACAGCACAGGTAACACACGACAGATCACAGTTTGTGATAAATAAGTCTATGGTGGTCTCCGAGGACAGACTAATTCTAGTGGATCTATTTATAATGTTTTCGCAACCGTTGCATGCAATAATAGTTTCAAAGTCACACTTTCTCGTGCTTTCATGCCCCATGTCAATATTGAAATCACCACCCAATATAACAGTGTATTTATGTTGATTTACAAATGTTAAGAAAACATCTAAAAATGCAAAAAAATCAGACAAGTCACCATCAGGTGGCCGGTAACACACAGCAACTATGACATCTTGAAACTGAACACATAACATTTCGTAATGAGCAGTAACTGAAGTAAACTTTTCGAGCAATACGGCTGGTAAAGAATTTTCAAGTAGCATAGTGACACCACCTCCTCGACGACTTGGCCGAAAAACAGAGAACGTTTTCATATGAGGTAGTTCAAATTCTTCTGAAATATCCGATTTCCAGGTTTCCGTTAGCATAACAACATCAAAACAACCTTTCATTTGATTAAACAGACACTCGAGTTCATTTACTTTGTTTCCCAATGATTGTACATTTAAATGGAAGCATCGGAGAAAACCTCTTTGTACGTTTCCAAACCGCTTCGCTAACTCACGAAGGGCGATATATCCGAGGTCATCCATTTTACAGAGCAGTAAAAACAAACAAAAAAAAGAGATACCAAGAAACAGCACAAAAAACCAACATCAATTGCTTAACGCTGACAAGTCATCCTCACACCTGATGACCTGCGCACGTTCTCCACTCTTCCTACGCACCAAGACCTTCCCATTGGAATGCCATGCAAAGTCATAGCCAACTCTCCTAGCCCAGGTTTTAGCTGCTAATAAAAGAGCCCGGGAACGCTTGGTCATATTCTCAGTTATGTAGACATTTTCTTGTTCCTGCCTCAAGGATTTTCTTTTTTCTAACCACATATTTCGAAGGTCCTGGTGGAAAAAGCGAAGGATCACTCCACGCTCTCTACCTGGCCTCGATGCCATCCTGTGAATAGCGGAATTCACAGGATGCCATCCTGTGAATACCTTCTCCATGATTGGCTATCATCATGTCCACTAGCATTTTCTTTCAAGTTAAGTTTATTTTTTCCTTCATATTTTTCATATTCATATTTCCGAGTGCAACATGCCTCGAGAGCCGATGACCACTGTTGGATTTGGCATGGGACATGTGTCCATACCTTTCGTTTCGCTATTTGTCGTCCCCATATTTAGACATTTCCCCATAACCATCTTACTATGAAAGAAAAAAAATGCATATCTTGCCTTTTCTTCATCCATGGCCTTCATAGGGTACTGTGCCCCGCCGCGGTGGTCTAGTGGCTAAGGTACTCGGCTACTGACCCGCAGGTCGCGGGTTCAAATCCCGGCTGCGGCGGCTGCATTTCCGATGGAGGCGGAAATGTTGTAGGCCCGTGTGCTCAGATTTGGGCACACGTTAAAGAACCCCAGGTGGTCGAAATTTCTGGAGCCCTCCACTACGGCGTCTCTCATAATCATATGGTGGTTTTGGGACGTTAAACCCCACATATCAATCAAATCATAGGGTACTGAAATGATGGGAAATTTACCGCAAGTTTAGGAATTGTAAAAGACAGGCTCGGTGTCTTCTTCCTAGTTGCACCTAGTGCATCAAAAATCAGCTTATCAAAATTGTTCTTCAAGTTTTCACTGTGTTGCAACGAGACCGCGCTCTGCCTAGCCTAGTGGTGAGGCTATTGTCGAAAGCGGTGTATTACTACGAAGAAAAAAAAACCACGACTGATATAGGAAGCGCTTATGTCGCCATATGAACGCACAACTTCATCTCCGTTCATTTTGTTTATATGCCCTTTCAAACATGCACATAATTTCAGTCAAGCAGAGCAGGCATTGGGACAATTGGGTATATTAACTCGCATATTTGACCATCGGAAAGAAAAAAACAGGCCCTCGCAGGCGAAGGAGGGAGTGAAAAACTTTATTCGTGCAATTTGATAGACAAGGCGAGGGCTTGAATATCTGGACATAACTAGCAATGTGCTAAATACGACTGCACTGTACTACTTATTGTCATAAACTAAAGCCATAAGTATTTGTTTGCATCTACAGCTGTGCTTTTCAGCCATAAACAAATATAAATAAGTC